AACAACCCAAAAAAAACCTACCGAAGGCAAGCAAGACTTACGACTTTTAAATAGAAACAAAGATGTTCTCAAAATCGGAAGAAAGATCATTCTAGTACGAGCATAAACAAACCCTAAACCATTGGCGCGTCTCCCTTTTCCCACTTTACTTGAACGTTGTAATGCATAAATTCCTCAACTATTCCTACACTCTGAACTTGTCCGTGAAGTCACAACCTGTACTTTGGAAACACCTCTACAGTATGGTGTAATTGTAAAGCTTGTCCCTGCTACATTCAGAAGACGTGAGTTCGATTCTCGTGTGGGGAGAACATTTTATCGAGTATTTCCATCTGTCTGCCGGGATGTCGTATTCACTCAACTCGAATTGGCCTTGAAATGTGGATCAAAGTCCAAATTGAGCTAAACTGAGTCGATTTGGGAGAGGGGTGGGGGCGTTACACATCTACCGTTAAACATAAGCAACCACCGAGAACCCTCGCTCAACGTGTACCATGTAAAGAGGGTTTTCGGTTCCAAAGGCGGGTAAGGTTTGCGCGCGCACAAGAGAGTTATCATAAATCAAACATAACTCCTGCTTCCATTTTCACTTCTCTTCGGCTGGGGCCACTGGACAAGGACACGAAAAAAACTGGGCAGGAAATCAGCTAATGGGGAGAAATTGGAGCAAATTATATGTCTCTTTTCTTCCTTATACAGGTTTATACAGGTGTGGCTGAATACAGGGGGTAGGGGGATTAGGGGTGGTTGGGGTGTACGTGGGGCTGCGTAAAGTTGTACAAGGAACGTTCCCCATCTTTATTATGAATTATACAATCTGCCTCAGTGTGTGTGTGTGTGTGTGTGTGTGTGTGTGTGTGTGTGTGTGTGTGTGTGTGTGTGTGTGTGTGTTTGTGTGTTTGTCTTACGAGGATGAGAAGGTAGGGGTGGGGGTGGGGTGCGCGAACGAGGGGAAAGGAAAAAAGAAAGCGAATTAAGGAAAGGGGGAAGGGGGGGGATGAAATATTTTGTGTGTGTCAGCGCGTCTGTCTGTACTCTTAACTACGTGTTCACGATGGACTTAAGCTATGCACCTTTGACAGAATTCTAGCCAGAACTTTTACACTATCTTTGGCAGGCCCTGAACAAATTGGAGTCTATTCAGGAAGTCCATTAAAGCAGCTATTGATCTCAGCAGTCTGGCATCGTAAAGCTGCGGTTGTGAGAGGAAGCGATCTCATAGATGATGAACGCTTACAGAAATGCCTTGATTTACCTGCCTAAAGCGTTTAGTGCAAGTGGAAAGAGTTTTTAACGCCTAGCATTTCATGCTTCCAAAATGAGGTATCTGCAAGGTTTTTAATCTTCTGGTCTTCAGGAACAGCTTACCGCTATGAAGCATGGAGGACTGGGGTGGTAGCAATTACTTATTCCATCGCACAAGATGCACCAAAGCTGTGCAACTGGTCAAATGTCCGCCCTGGAAAGATACAGGATAGGTACCCAAGAAACAGTGATAGAAACAGCCAATTCCCACCAACGCAAAGACTGCATCACCCCCCCCCCCCAAACAAGCAAACAAACAAACAAATTAACAAACAAACTAACAAACAAACAAACAAAGCGCCCATTGCACACGATGCTGACTATGAACATCAAAACTGTCCAACTTGCCAAATGTGATGTTCTTCGAAAAAAAATCCGGATAAACAACAGAGGCGGACATGAAGAAAAAAAAGGATATTATAAACGTCCAACCCCATACTTAGACACGCCCTTCCCGCCCAGTGACGCGTGGATTTGGGGAGGGGAGGGGGGAGTAATATCTTCTCCCTTTAAACAAGACGCCAAGCATCATCGCTTTTGCTGCACGACAAGCCATTTGTCCCCTCTATCTAGAAAAACTCATGATACAAACCCAAGGAGAAAATGGAAAGAATATTACATAGTGACAGGAGCGTCCAACTCTTTTTGTCACAAAAGCGTCACTGACATCCCCCCCCCCAAAAAAACAACAAAAACAACCACAAACAAACCAAAAACAAAAAATTACACACGCACACACACACTGGAATCATAAAGAAAACAAAAAACAAACAAACAAACGAAAAAGAAAAAAATACCAAATACAGAATACTACGACCAGCTCCATTCAAAGCAAAAAGACCCAAACTGAAAATGGTGAAATGGTATAGGTTTAACGCTCCTAGCAACACTGTTATACAGGGTGCCCACTACTACTGAAACTGAAATTGAAAACAAACACGTTTGTTTTTGAGGCAACCAGGTCGGACGATCGGTCCGATCTGCCGATCCCATCTGTAGTGGGCACCCCGTATTAAGTTATTTAAGGGGCGGGACCTCCGAGTTTAACGTCCGTCTCCGAAATGACTGAGCCAAGTGGGAAATTCGTGTTAGTACCTTTCCCAAGGACACACCGTCGGACCGAGCTGAGGCTCGAACCCTCGAACCCGCAATCTTACGATTACGAGTCCAGTAGTCTAACCACTAGGCTACCAACCCCACTTCCCAAACTGAATTAAATACGACATTCGGATCTTGAACATGTAGACAAATAATAAAGGGCTAACAGAGAGCTGGGGTACTCTTTTGTCTGTGTTACGAGTGTGAGTGTGAGTGTGTGTGTGTGTGTGTGTGTGTGTGTGTGTGTGTGTGTGTATGTGTGTGTGTGAGTGTATATGTGTGTGTATGTGTGTGTGAGTGTATGTGTGTGTGTATGTGTGTGTGTGTGTGAGTGTATGTATATGTGTATGTGTGTGTGTGTGTGTGTGTGTGTGC